GTTTTACTTTTAATTCAACTTTCCCAGTACAAAATTGTAATTTAAATTGTAAAAGTGCTACGCTTGTTTTTGTACCAATTCAATTAGTGTTTGAAGAACATATATACTGAAAAACATATAACTATTTTTAATTCTTGGAAGGAATCTCGTTTACCAAGTAAAAAAATAAATTCTTCTACACACAATTAAATGCTGATAATAAACCACTTTATGTAAAATATAGCAATAATTGAAATTCAAATTATTGGAAAATTATTTAAACATATAAAAATATGTAATGAATATAAACGTTAATACTTAACGTATGTTTTTCCATTCAACAAAATTTTCATTATTTTCTGCATCAAAGCGAGTTTGAGTAATACCTTACCATGACATACTTATTGATTATTATATCATAACAATTATATGCAATTTTCATAATTCATTCTCGTTTTCTTTTTTTTTTTCACTCATGTAATATACTAAATTGTTGTTGACATCATTCTTCCAATACCTAATTATTTTTGTTTAAAATATTCTATCTTTATAAATAATGAAAGAAATCTCGTTTACCAAATAAAAAAATAACAAATTCTTCTGCACACAATTAAGTGCTGATAATAAATCACTCTATGTAAAATATAGCAACAATTGAATAATGTTTGGCTAAATAAAAACAATTCAAAACAGGTGTTAAAAATTGTGGGAAGTCGAAGAAAGTATCAAATAATGATTAACTGATTCATGATCAATTGCTGTTGGCATTATCTTTCTCAATCGTTTCGCATTGTTCCTTTTCTGATAAATAATTACAGTAGCAACAGCTAATGAATAATAGTAAGACCTGTAATCATTTAATTATTCAGCTTTGTGCTGATAATTTAATTTAATTTATTAGCACATTATTTAATTTGATTGGTGATAAAAGTCTTAAAAGCAAAAAGGACTAAACAAAAAAGCTCGCAGTGTCACTTGTCAAAAATCCTATTTAAAACCATTCATTACTAGCTGTGCATTAATGTTACTTAGGAAATTTTTCCTTTTTTTTTGAAATGCTTGTAATTTAATGCACTGATTAATAAGCTGTATTCCTCATACATGAAATTGATGAGTAGAAATGGAAGAAAGGATAAGTTCAGACAATTTACTTTATTTATTCAAAATAAATGATTCACCTGAAATGAAAAAAATACCAATAGTGATATGAAAATGATTCGTTCAACTTGACTGAACAATACTAAATGATTACTGCAAACAGCATCGCTACCGCAATCACTGCTAAAGCTTTCCTCTGATCCAGAACGCCACTGAGATATTATGGTTGCATGTATCTAAAATGTTTTTAAAAAATTTTAATTATATAAGAAAAATTAAAATATTCAAAAAAAAAAAATTGTACTGCAAGCTTTTTAATAGCCTAAAATCGGTTATCATTCAAAGGCAAGAATTCCTACAAGAGACAAAGAAACAACAACTGCCAGTCAAATTATTTCACTGAATTAGCTATAAAAAGAACAATCAACCAACGATTTCAGAATTCAAAATTCAATGAAGTTTTTCCTATTTTAATTTTATTCCTAATGTTGAAAATTTATCGAAAATTTACCTTATGTTGATTGGCAAGAGCGAAAGCTGACAGACTAAGCTGAACAAATATTTGTACCAGCAACATCACTATGTACTGAAAATGAAACAATTATTTGGATAGTATAAAATTATGCTTAGATTGAACAAAATTTAAATTATATAAGATTTAAATAGTATTTGATCGCAAACGTTGTAATTCATTTTTCACTGACATTTTTCACTCAAAACTTAAAAATGCTCTTAATGTTAGTAAAAAAAGTGTGATAGCATAATGAGTACAAGATTTGCCGATCTTGCGTTATTTATCTGCTTTCAGTTTTTATCAATATGAGTGTAAAAATAGATGGAATGGAATATATTGCTAAATTATCATAAAAATTAGTCAGTTTTCTCTAATTGACTGCATGTTAGATAAAACTTAACAACCGTTTAGCAATTCATCAAAAACATTCGCGTTGCTTATCGTTAATACCGAAATTACGTTGAATTGATTTTAGATTTTAAAGAAATCAGATTTTAGATTTGAAGCAAGAAAATAAAATTGTTTATAGATATGCTGTAAACGTTAGAAATTAATTACAGATGACATCTATCAATGTAGTATTAATAGGAAATTGGAAGAAATTTAGTCAAATATTTCACTGAAATACATATCAATAATGACTAATTTCCTTTTATTGGTATTTTTATAAAGAAATTAATTTTTCAGGTTTTTCATTAATTCCTTGCCATATCAATAACTCATTCAGTGAACTCAGAAAATTACACTTACCAGAAACATACAAAATGAGCTACACAATACCAATGATACAATTCCGAGTACCGATAATAAAAATATTGAAATACTCGTTGCGCCAACAAAAAACACGGCAAGTGAATACTAAAATGTGTGCCATTTAAAATTTAGTTGTTGCTTATGGATGTATTTAAAAAGAAGTATTTCAGATACATTAATAGCTCTAAAAATCAATTTTTCATATTTTGAAATGTATAGAATTTTACATGATGTTCACTCCATCTTATCGATAAACATACCTGATGATGATCCGCAACAGGATTAGGAGAAATTCCCGCGATTGGAGGTGAAAACCATGAGAATACAGCAATCAATAATGAAAAAATCGAAATTAACTGTAATGAATATGTTTATAAAAAGTATTCGAAGAAGTCTAGAATGTTCTTCTCTCTTTCCATAGATCCTGAGAAAAGGAATGAAATTTTAGGAATACTTGCTTATAACGATCGCTTTAATAATCGATTGAACTGATATCAATGTTAAAAAAGGAAAAAAAATTAAGTTGAAATTCCCCACAGACGACGACGACCAGCAGTTGATGGTTGCCTTATCAATTAGACATCATTCAAAGAGTAGCTAACCATCTCTAATGCTTCTTCATCCAACTAAACTATACGATGTCTGGACATTTAAAATTACTTAAGCTCTTATTTAATACCAGAATTAAAAAACTTAAGAGAAAAAAAAACAAACTTAGAGAGTAATTTAATAAGCATTAATATATTTTATGTGACAAGTTTGTAACTGGCGAAATATGCATATTGACAATCATATTAGTAATGCTCTCAAATTCTCTCTTTTCATGCTTATTTGAATGTATTTGCTCAAATTTTCATAATGAAATAAAATAAATTAAATAAAGAAGCAAGGGAGAGGGGGAAAAATAGAGAGCTTTCATTTTTTATTTTCTAGAAATGGAGAAAAAGAAAAATAATAATGAATAAATTCACATGTGATTGATGGAAATGATTGATGGAATCACTGAATTTAGTGATTGTTAAATTAACAAGAAAATAAAATACGTCATATTTTGTAAATAGCAAAAAAAAAAATTGGTATGATTGGCCGAATTTTTTTTTTTCCTTTTCAGGATAAATAATAATATTAACTTACCGCAAATATGGAATTGAATGTGAGCGCAGTAATTTTCAATTGTTGAATGAAGAAAGTAGGGAGCATAGAGAGGAAAAAAGAAAGAGGTTGAAGGAAAGAGAGAGAGGGAGGATAGGAGGGAAAGGTATAAGCTGATACGATTCTTCCTGTGATAGTGAATAAATGAATTAGTTCATCAAATACAATTCGTCTTGTGATTTGATTAAGAAGTTTACGAAAAACTTGCGAAGCGAATGATCAACAACTCTTGCAGTAGTGAACATTATTCTCACCATCTGCACCATGTGCTTATGTTTGTATGTATGTGTGTATACATATATATATATATATATACGCATGTATGTATGTATTACATGTATGGCAGCTACATCTTGTACACTCGTATTCGGTATGAGTAAATTTCCGTGAGCATTCTTTTTTTTTAAATATTACATTCTTCACTTCTGATACAGCTGGATTGAATCATCGAAAAGAAAAAAAAAGTGATACATAACCGAAAAATTGCCTTGACTTTCAATAATACATCTTTGCACCTGTTAGAACACCACTGTTTCGATTCCCTTTTTAAAATGATAATTCTATTCTCAATGCAGTTGAATTTGATAGTTCTGTTTCCTTTTTCTTAAAACACAAGAAACAAGTTTTCACAGCTGTACTTACTCATTAGCAACTTCCCTATGAAAGTGACTTTAAACGATAGAAAAGAGGAATTTGTTATTAAGTCTATTGGATAAATTAAACGAAGTGGTAGTATTAGTTTGCAATATGTGACACATCGCAAATGTCGGGAAGATGCGCCATTACGGTCGCAAAAAAAAAAGACTTATTTTATATGAAGCTATTATATGGAATTATTATATTCTATTAAAATATGAAACAATACCAAAAATACAACTATTCAGATAGGAAATTTACTAATTCCACAAAAGCAACAATATATTATGCATGTATTATGCACATCAAATCGCTACATTAGAGAGATTAATGCTTAGTAACTTGAAAAACATAAAGTTTACATCTATGGTGCTTCCAACTATGACACTTGAATAAAGTTTTAGACAAATAAATTAGATTCATAAAGTTTTAGATCAGCAGATAAATGTGGTAATGAATTCTATGTACAAGTAAGACACTGACATTTTGTAACTATCACTGAAACTAGACTGTCCAGTCATCCGTACCCTTCAGCAATGACTGGCTGTCAGATATCATATCTGTCCAGTCATCTCCTTGAAACTTTGAGATTTTTATTAATCACCAGTCCTTACAAAATATAACATGATAAACTGACAAGAAGTACAAGAGATTATTTATAAAAGTTTAAATATTGTGTTTTTTTTTTTCCTGTTTCTTTATATAAGAAGTCATGCTGTATCTCTTATTTGGTACCTGATTAAAGTATAGAAAAAGAATTATGTAAATCTGTCTAGGAATTCACTTTCAACATATAACATAATCCAATGCATCCATATTGTTTTCACAACAATCTGAATTTAAAAAGCAATGGAAATTGTCAGAGGCATTAATCTTCCATACTGTCACCAAATTTATTTAATGAACTGTTGCAGCCATCAATAAACGATATGTCGACAAGTTGGAGAGGTTGACTGGGAAGCTGTGCATAAAATCCTGGTCCTAGTAAAGCCTCAACATCGTTTTCAAAACTGCTTGACAATACCGATATTACTTCTTCATTATTATAATTCTCATTCCTGCAAACAGCATCAACTTAACAAAGAAGAAATTCATATTAAAATTCCACCGGTAAATAACATGGTAAAGGAAATAAATATAAATGAACACTTTAAAAGAAAAAAAAAGATTTATATGCATGGTAACGCTTAGATCCGAAATTCTCAAACTTCACATCTATCTTACATCTCCTGCCACCTTCAATTCAGAACCATTTTATATATGTTACATGTGTCACCATCTTGCAATTATTCGAGTGATTGTGCACCCGTCACTCAAATATTAAAATTAATATTACAAATTAAAAATACATTAACGGACATTTCCGCAGACTGAGTTCGAGCAATTATCTCTCCGGGGGACCAATCCAATTTAGTTTGTGTTGAGAATGACAGTAGTGGGCTATCTCTACCAGTTTGACATCCAGATCTTCTGCAAAAATTGATCTAATATTTCAAGAAATATGAATTAAAAACAGAATTCATTTTAAATAAGTAAACTATATACATAGTATCAAAAACGATTTATCAGTACTATATTTAAAACCAAACAAAAACGTTTGTTACCCGCCAGTTTTTGCAACCATGACGATTTCGGACTGAATGTAGCCCGTTGGAGACAAAGATTTCTGCCGTTCTTCAGTTTCAAAATATCGTAACATGTCTTCCTTGTCGATATCCGGATATAGATACCTGCATGTGATATTACTAAATAAGATACCTATAATTTTTAACAATTTTGGTCAAATGTTTATAATACTCAACTGATGTCAGAAAGTTAGATACCTGACCTGCTTTAGAAAGCGATTCTTAATATTGACGTTAATAAAATACAAAAGACAAGAAAATTTCTGCAGAAAAGATTTGGTTATCAAAATAATTACTTGATATCTTTTAATTGTGGGCACGATGCAATACGCTGAGCTAGAGAAAATTGATCGAGATCTTTTATAGAGAATGGTGAAAGATGAAAAGGCACTGTAAGAGACAAAAATTATTTGAATTAATATTTATAAAGAATAATTTCGTGAGAAAAACGGATGTGACCACAGAGTCCACCATATAATATTTAAATCAGGCATGAAGATAAAAATGGAATTACCTTTACCACCTTCATCATCGCAAACAAAACCAATACTAACAGCACCAGTTTGAGTATCACTAAAACGCAGAAGAAATGTAGGATGGGGAGTTCTGACCATTTGTGACGATGCATCTTGTTTACTTATAAAACCGATTAGCCACCCTGCAATATGACAAATAAGGACTTTCAAACCCTAAATCAGAATAGAGAGTTATATTACTTATTCGATAGTAATACATGGATATGTAAGTTAAAAAAAAGTCGAGAACAAACCTTCATCCCAAAACTTCAAAAGTTTATGCTTGATAAGTTGCATAATAGCGAAAAACCATTCCCAAAACGAGAAATTAACGTCATCCCGCAAATTTTGCTAAATGTAAGACATAACGATTTCTACACGATAAAATTTACTCCATTACAAAATCTAATTACAATATCTCATCATAGGATAAAACCAATCAAGTGCTAAACCAACAATTTTGATAATGCAACTGGTTCTACATAGACAGAAGATAAAGCTGCATGTCGAAATTATGCCAACCTTCGCAAACCGATGCAAGGTTATTAGTTTTCTTTCTTCATCGGCAGAAACCTTTAATTTCTCAGCCATGTAACAAAGATCTGAATCGCTGATTTCTCGCTCTGCACCAGTTGAAATCGCAAATTTATGACGAAGGACTTGACCAAGTTCTTTCCACGATACAGAAACTATTTCCGGCGACAAAGTCGTACGATTCTGAAACCAGACATTTATGATGATTAGTATCTGTCAGTTGTAAAAAATACTAATGATGACGAAGAACTGCTATATTACGAACCACATCAGAAAAAGCCCTCTGCCAAAGTATGGCTCCCTGTGCATCACAATCTTGACTTCCATGTACTGTAACCATAATTGGTAATGACAATGTCCAAACATCGAACTTCCCAAGATTGCCAAGTTGAAATGGGGTTATATGAAAAATTAATGCATATTTCTGGTCAATAGCCGTCTGTGAATTCACTATCACTTTGGAGTCCCCTTGTCCGCCTTTTGGTGGCGGCTTTCGATGCGCAATACGCGTCAGCTTCTATAAATCCATCACGAGGGCGATCAAAATTATAACACAGTAGCTTCATTAACACTATATTCTACTTCACAACAAGAAGATTCATGAAATCATTAGCGTCTGCTCTGTACCAATAACTAGGAGAAAAAAAAAAAAAAAAAAAAAAAAACTACCAATAGGACATGTGCTTCAAGGAATAATCAAGCAATCACATAGAAATTGTGAACAACCTGCATGTCTGCATGGAACAGATTGAATATCACAAAAACTGAACTCACAGAATTGCTAAATTTTGCAGACATGTGTCCTTTATCGTCAGTAGTTATTTTTTCGAAATCGTTACTTATGGAACCAACCGTTTTACTGAAATTGAATATCAGAAAAACTGAACTCAGAGAATTGTAAACTGGATCATCTTTTCTCACTCATAATTAACTTACACGTTTTTTTCGGACAGCTGTGCAGTACTAAGCAACCGAGCTTCTTCCTCAGCAATGATCCGAACAGTGACATTAGTATTGACAAGATGCTGTTTGATGCCCAATTTGTCGCCAATAAGAAGTCTCACTTCAGCAAGAAATTTATGCTGCGTTTTCAAAACTGGTTCAGGTTGGATTGCAACAATAAAACTTTGAGAAACCAACATACACAATAACTTCGTTAGATTATCCAGTATCGAATTCAAATTTGTAGTCTGTGCCACATGACCACTTATTTGTGGACCTAAAGAAGTCCTTAAATTAAAATCTGTTAATTCCCTATACATGAAAAAATGAACTTCAGAATGCCTGAACCAGGTATTTTTTCGCCATCACCTTTAGCATGTATGAAGACTTATCTTCGAGAATGCAGACATTCTTTACTCTAAGAAAATTTTTTATTCCAATACGTGAAAGGAAGTGAAAAACCGTATAACGATAAAGTTAAGCAATGAAAACAAGCAAAGATCAGTTTTCCTCTTAAGAAAAGAAGAAAAAAAAAGCCAACCTCGCCGAAGCAAATCCATCTGCCAGCACGCGTATGTTCTCAGCTGCCAGTTCTGTTCCGCTAACATTTCGAATCTTCAAAAGGAAATATGTTTACGACATGAAATAACTCGTTACAAATAACAGAAACATCAACAACTGGGACAATGGAAAACTTAACAACATAAAACTAATATTCCATGTGCAGCCTACTAGCTAAATTTTCGTACTGGAGACAGAGAAATGCCGCAGAAATAGCACGCATCACTACTGCGAATAACGATCGAGCAGTTCGAGGTCTCAAACTTCATTTTTCACTTTCATTTTTTTTTCATTTTTTATATTCAATAAGACTAAAGTAACGAGTATTCAGAACATGAAAAAAAACTATACGCTACGTTAAAGAGGAATAAGTAACTTCAAACAAGCGAATAGAGAAAGGAATGCTAACTCTGTTTGTATTTCATCAATCATGCAGTCGCGTTCTTCAAACGGCACACCAACTTGCTGAAGCTTTTGTCTGTTTTTCCAATCATACAGATAATCACTAATGAGCTGATTTTGTAACAATGCGACATTATGCACACCTTCATTCAGCTTCTGCGTCAGATTACATCTTTTCTCCATAAGTGCATTGTACAGCTGGCTTGCCCGCTTCTGCATATCACTTACTGATATCCGCGCCTGTGACAATTTGTCATCCCTATAACAATTTGACCGATTCATCTAATATGACAAAGCAATTTTCAGCCATAATTAAATACCACAAAAAAATGGTCATAACTGAAGGACGATTAAGATAAGGTGTAATAACATAAACTGTCTGTTTACGTCGGCAACTATTCTTTTTATTATCTTTTCTTCTATGCTTACCGCACTATGTAAACTCACACGTGGCAAGTTTGCAAGAAAAATTACGAGAAAGATGAAACATAAAGTAAGATAGTATGAAAAACGCTTTTTATCTCGACTACCTCCTTGTTTGTTCCATGTACCATGATATCCTTATGCAACATGCATTTAGCAGAAGCTGCGAAAATCTCGAAATGAAAAACAATATATTAGTTGCTTACTGGTGATCACGTTCAAGCTTGCTCACAGCAAGTTGCATTCGATGTAATTCTGTCAAATCATTCACGAAACGACCCTGCATATCCTTGTTCTCTTTCCAAAGCGTGTGACATTCCTTTGTCAAATCAAGCAACGCTGTTTTGATTTCACCATAGCATAACATTAGATTTAATTAACTGAAACATTCTCAGATTAACTGACATAATTCGGTTTTCACCAACAGTACTAAAACTTCCATCTTTACACTGTCTAAAAAGCAGTCCTTAACATAATCTTTCACCTACAGCCACCAAACACTTCACCACCCTGCACCGAATTAATGCATAACGGCGCATACCAGGGCCGTATTTCATAAGAATTATCAATATTTGCATTGGGACGCGAGCGATGTACGAAAGTGCTTGGGTTGTAGGGTTGGTCGCGTTGGGGGCGTATCGAATTGTCTTCAGTGTTTTGTGTAAGGTATTGGGAGGCTGACTGGGATGACTAATAGGCCAAATCTATTTCGTATCACATACTCTGTGGAAATCTTCACGTAGAGAGTTGTTCAATTGATATGCTGGCTGGTTTGACGTAATATCAGTGATTGGATTAAATGGGGTGGATTTGATTGGTATTATGGCCATATTCTGGAGGATTAATACAAAGCCGTGTTCAATTCGTGGTTATTTCTATTAAGGATGCATGTATATCGTCTTAGGTGACTAAGTGACCAAATGAGAGTTCTAGATACTGGAAGCCATGTTAGTATGAAATGCTTTTGTAAGTCATGACTGGAAAGCACTGTAAGTCGTGATGTATCTGGAATGTCATTTTTCTTGAATCCATCTGTTCAAATTTCATTGCAGAGATCTTCAAGTATTCTACAGCTTGTGTGAAGAATTAGACAACAATGGCAGAACAAATGCAGTTAAAAGGGACTTTGAAAGGTCACAATGGATGGGTGACACAAATAGCTACAAATGCTCGTTACCCGAATATGATTATCTCGTCTTCTCGAGGTAGAAATTATTAGGATAGTTATACAAAATACTATTTACTTTGCTCTTATATTTCATGTCGAAGATTACTGTAGTTCATCGAATTACTGGAGTCGCAACGGGTGGATCAGTTTTCACTACGGCGGGGTGTATTTTGGGGAGTTTCAAACTAGTTTTAAAAATATAACGTAGAATATTCCTTTCTGCTGCAGAGTTGGTAGTTGTTACCCTAAGTCTGTTAGAAAAGGTGTATGTAAACATGTATCTACATTAATGTCAGACTTTCCTGGAAGTGCATATTTCCACTTCCTGGCACGCATTTCGAGTCTGTTCTATTACTTGAGCCTATTCTGTTTATTATTTATTCCAAGAAAAACTTGATAGCTTGCTGCCATTACGCAAGGTATTGATTTTCACAACCAGAAGATGCTAAAAGTAATTTAATTGGGAAACTGGTGAAGAGTTACACTGGCAGTTTTTCAGATAAAACAATAATTGTGTGGAAATTGGATGCGGATGATATGTCAGGAAATTACGGCATTCAGTTAGGTGGAAAAGCTGAAAGAGCATTGAAGGGCCACGGTCACTTTGTTTCTGATGTTGTGATGTCTTCCGATGGACAGTTCGCTCTTTCTGGTTCATGGGACAAAACATTGCGACTCTGGGACCTCACTACGTAAGTCGAAATATTGTCTATTGATAAGAGTATGTCGATTCTGGCGAAATCCTCTGTCAGCATAATGTATTTCCTTTAAACAAAATTCTTCGAAATCCAATTTTTAGAGGTGTAACATCAAGGCAGTTTGTTTCACACACAAAGGACGTATTATCTGTCGCATTCTCTGCTGACAATCGACAGATCGTGTCGGGATCACGGGATAAAACGATCAAACTGTGGAACACTTTAGCTCAGTGCAAATATACAGTTAGCGTGCGTATTTTGAAAATTGAAATTTGGGCAGAGATTGTGAAAGTTTCAGATTTAGGACTGTGTTCTGTTTTGTAGATTTCATTCTTCTCTTTCAATGTAACAAATAATAGTGATATCTTACTTTTACATTGTGCATTATAGATCGCTATTATTGTTACTTTTTTAGGAAGACTGCCACACTGATTGGGTTTCAAATGTACGTTTTTCACCTTCAAGTTCAAACCCTGTAATTGTTTCCGCCGGATGGGACAAAATTGTGAAGGTATGGAACCTTGCTAACTGTAAGCTGAAAACGAATCATATCGGACACACTGGATACATCAACACAGTTACTGTATCGCCGGATGGTTCACTTTGTGCTTCGGGCGGAAAAGTATGGTTATGTCGGAATTTTATGCATGGTGGATTTTGATTTTCATTATTTTATATATCTGGTGGCTTTTTTTCAGGACGGTAACGCTATGTTGTGGGATTTAAATGAAGGAAAGCACTTGTATACTTTGGGTGGCAACGATGTTATCAATGCACTGGCATTCTCACCTAATCGCTACTGGCTTTGTGCTGCAGTTGGACCTGTGGTTAAAATTTGGGATTTGGAAGATAAGAAACCTGTAGATGAATTGAAGCTGGATGTTATGGGTGGTGCCAAATCTGCACCTCCACAATGTATTTCGTTAGCTTGGTCAGCTGATGGTCAAACACTTTATGCTGGATATACTGATAATGTAATTCGCATATGGCAGGTTTCTGTTGCCCAAATTCGATCATAATTTATGTAGTTGTTATATATCAGGTGAAACCTACTTGTTATTTGTTCTGCAAAAGTGGCATGTGAACATCTCTTATATTAAAGCATTGAATATATTTCACAAGTTTGCAAGTACGTTTTAAAACGTTCACTCTTTTTAACAATATTGAGAGGGAAAGCCTCGTTCATTTACATACATGACCACGGTTTATGGAAAAGTCAATAAGAGATCAATCATCAATATTGTTAGTCCGATGTTTATGAAAAAAGGTGTGCTTGAGGTTATTAAACCATACCTCAAATTTCTGGTACATATTCTGTTAGATAACGATAACAACGGATGTATAGTACATATTCTGTTAGATAACAATAACAACGGATGTATAGATAATGGAAAACTGGCGCAAGTAAAATCCTGTGAGAGTTATGGACGGTGGAAAGATCAGTATGCTTAAAAATAAAGCTGCAAAGTGGGATTTATCCAGTAAATTAATGAATTTGTTGTGATCTTTGATGTATTGGTTTGGGAGTGCGGAAACGTGATTACTAGTCGGTGTGTCAGTAATTTGCTGGGGTCAGTTTTACGAAATGGCTCACTTTGAATTGTAGGTATTTTTTGGATTGTAGCTGAATTGGATTTATAGCGCTCAATATATGGAGCATGACTGGATGCACTGTGTGGACCGTCTCTTAAAGGCATGGACAGGATATCAGTTGGGGGTACAGATGCTTTCCGGTGGACTAGAAACATATCAAAAGGCTGAATGGTTTGCTAAGGTGAAGTTTTACTTATTAATTTATTATGTTTAATTAGGTGTATAAAACCTGCTCGCGCACGTCGAGAAGGTTCATCTCAAGTAATGGATAGCTGTGGAGGGAAATTGGGCGCAACTCTGGGTTTAGCTTTCTGTGAATTCTGGTTGAGCATAACAAGGTTGTGAGTCAGATTACTTCAGGTTCTGGCCGAGTATACATCCAGCTTAGGGAATCTACAAGTTCATAACTTAAGTGAATGGATATGTGACATTTTGGATAACGAGTTTAATCTTATTCTAAAGGTTCGTTATTCTGCTTTGAATATATCTCTGAAATCAGGGACACTGTTTTGGAAGTTTCCTTACATTTTCGCCCCATTTGTTATCGACAACAGTAAAGATGTGAAGTGGTATTTTCTAATCCTTTTTCAGGATAACAGCATCGAGTGGCTTGCTTCATCTCTGCTAAAGTGTAGGTTGTGGTTGGAAAAATGTCAGAAACCAGAACTTGAAAATTTCCTATCCAAGTTGCCGTCCGAAAGTGCCGTACAAGCTGCTGCAATAGAAAGTGAGGTGGTAATGGACCACTCAGATGACGAAAACAGTGACTGTGAGAAATTTGAGAATAAGCCGCAAGACAAACAAACTAAAAGATCATCGAGGAGACGCATGGAAACCGATGAAGATGGTTGGACTACAGTTATTCGTAGATAACTGACGGTTTTTGTTTTTGTCTAATAAAAACTTCGAAATTGATTTCTAACATTTACATGTTTTAACTTTTATCTATAATAAATAGTTCATGGACACTGCGGACTATCATTTGAGAAATGTCAACGTTTACAACATTAAATTTGAACTGACGTTTCTTAATAATGGGTACACTATACATATTGTATGTTCAGGAAACAAAAAAGCGCAACAAAGGAATGCAATAGAGCGCACCCATAAAAGCACCCTCAGCTGCTCTTATGAAGTGCGCCTGCATGCTTAATTCCGGCAATATGTACAATAAATGACGTATATAAAATGAGGCAGTGTACAAATTTAAACAACCCGTGAGTAAATGAACAAAACATAGGCCAAACCAAGGTATCACTGGAACCCGATTTTAGCCGAATTGCATCGATCCTGAAACTTGTCCGGTCAAATTAAGGATAAGGACGTTTGAAATGATTTTGAATGATGGGGTCTTTACCGCCTTTACCACTACCACGATCCCTTGGTACTACGAGAGTATATGGAATTATAGAGGAAACCATCTCTTTTAATTCTGATTCTATTTTGAGCGAACTTCGAAGCAGATGACGAACAGATAAAATTCCGTGATGCACTACATCCAAAAAAAGAAAATTTATCCAACTCTTGGTTTATTTCCAGCAAGAATTCAAGTGTTGTCTGTAGACAGAAAACATTTAAATGAAAGCTTCCTCCACTGGGCTCAATCAGAGTCTAAAATACTATTTTTTAAGAATCTCATTCAACACAAGTCGACAGTACTTAAATTCAATACAAGTCGCTCACTTTAAAAGAGCTTGTTTGATCACTTATTCCATTTAGTGCCGTCCGTATTCATACCTTGCTTTTTTATTAACAAAAACAAGCTGTAATTATTTATAGGTTAAACAAATATAACATACCGAGATTTTGACCATGTTGAAAAATAAATACACCATTGACAATGACAGGAACTGCGTAGAGACAAATATTGTACACTAACAGTTCTCTTTGTACACCACTTTATAATCCTCCTGCAGAAAAAAAAAAAAAAAAAAAATTGAAATTTGCAAAATCTTGAACAATCTAGGTAGGTTATATATATAGCAATAAAAACAGAAAAATTCACCGTTGTTTATGCGAGGCGCATATAAACTTGTCACAGAACTACTTTCGGCATTTAGATCCACTGGTTGCACATCGGAGGTTGTGGTTACAGTTGAATGGTGCTGAGAAGTTGAGGGAACACGACGAACTGGCAATGGAGTATTCCGTAAGCGGACACCTTTTGAAGACAACAAAGGAGACTGAAGCGGGCTTATTGGGATCAAATTCCCACTGCAACCTTGCTTCAAACGTGAATTCTGAGCTAATGAAAGCATTTTTTGTACTGCATGTGGTGACTCTACACCTGCAATGAAATAACAATGTTATTTCCAAATGCAAACTGGGAAACTGCTTTTAACTGAAAGCTACCAAATTTTGGAGCCGATATCCTATGCTGGTCAGAAGTACTCGACTGGCTCGATAAGCTCGAAGGTGATGGTGATGGAGCTCTACGTCGTATTACGCTTGCACTACCGTAGGAAGGTTCACATTCGTATGAAAGCTGATCCAAATCCGTCTCGCATTCAACGACATTTAAATTTGACAGATAGGATTTAACTTTCCGAACCATTAAAGCTTGTTCGTATAACTTGCGACGTGGCTGTGTTGCAGTTTTCACTGAAAATCTTTTTGAAAAGGATATGTACTGTTCTGCAAAATTCTGCATCAGACATATAAAATTTTCAAAAAAAAAAAAAAAACAATAAAAACTGTAAATAAACTAACTAGCATTTGGTCCCACTTTTCTCATTGTAGCGACTGTTCCGGCGCCGCCGTCAAAACTATTCATGTTAACTAACGCATCGCTAACATCATTTCCACCACTCTTTAAATTTAATCACAATTATGTTTCGTTGTTTAAAGTAATTGTCTCTATAAGAATTCTACTTATCTGAGAAATGGCATGATGATTAACATTCCCCGAGAGATCTATGTCCACTGAGTCTGATATGAAAGTTGCACAACAGCTGAAGGACGATATATGTATCGATCAAGTAGCTCTCGTTGTGAGAACTTTACAATGAATTTTTAAATAATAAATGAAAACACTATCACAAACCATACTTGCTGAGCCATAACGCCAATTTCATAGGGAGAACTGCACAGTTTGGTAACCGAACGAATAGTCTTTGCAATCATCCGTAATTTTTCGAAATTGATTAACTTTTCACAATATGTCGGATTACCCTCATGTGAAAATGTCAAGTCTTTCTTGAGCACTGGATATATGGGAACAACAGGTGGTTCCTGCGAAACAACAGCAAGATGCTGACGATATTTCGACATGTTTCTCGACGGATCTACCAAATGTTGCACATCCTCGAACATTTTTGTATATTTACTGGAAAAACAAAACTTTAAAATTTTCCAACAAAAAATATACGCTTAACAAACCTTGGAACACGTTCCCAAGTATGATGAAGTCTTCGGACAGCAGGCTTTTCCAAGCCGCTCATAATCGCAAACATCGAATTGAAGTTCCTGAAGTCTCGGCAATATCGAGCTACTTTAATAAACTTCTTTATCAGCTTCATTCTTTTTTGTAAACCTTTCTCGCGACATATTTCTGTTGCAACCCACCACATCTCCTGAAATGATATCTACTTCAGAATAAAAATTGAGAAGTCAGTACCAAAATAAAGGATTTTTTCTGCCATGATTATTTACAGTCATGTAAATATGATAAGATCAACAGGAGACACTGAAATTCGAATGGTAGTAACATTTATAATACGACAGTACACCTCGCTAAAGAAAGCAATAATCAATACTTTACAATAGCAACATGGTTGAAAGTCCTATACCTTATTGAATAAAGATTCAAAATCAGCCAACTTTGGCCAACCATACTTTGATTCCAAATTGAATAAGTTATCTACATATTCTGTGGGTTCAATGGACGAAAATACATCGAAATCCTGTAATGCAGTGGAAATATTATACCTTTTATAATACGTAGAGCAAATATTAGCAACAATCAGTTTACAAAATGAAGATAATGAACCAACAAAGATTTTTATAATACAAGAAATTTGCACTTGTAAAGTAAGCTGAGCGGCAAGTATTTGGGCATTTAACTGAAGCAGATGAGTCTCTGCTTCCTTCAGAATTTCGGGAGCCAATTCATCAGGTACCATCGGTTCTGATCTGAAATCCTATTCTTAGTTAACGCTTGAAGTGTAGTCAGTTAAATATTTTGTCAAATTAAAATCTCATCTGACTGACAACTAAATTCGTTTTTACAATTGAAATAAGAAAACCACACTTTCTACTACTACTAATACTACTACTACCTTGAGAAAACTATTATAGCCTGCATAGATATAAGTAATTGAAATTTTTTTAGTTCAAACTACACCATTTTTATCTATGATGGATACTTCTAAAATAAAAACGAAATGAAGAATAATGTCTTATTTTTGAACTCCTACAAACATTCACCGACTGTTGTTTTTTAAATAATAACGACTATTAAGCTGAATTCGCTCAGCAAGGTTGTTCATTTGATCTGGAAGTCGCTTCTGTTTGATCACTCCATCAAGTGTCACAGTTGTCTCACACAGTGCCCATTCGAGACTTCCACTATCAGAACTCATACCAAATTCCTGAGAAAAAGTTAAAAAAGCAGTCTGGATGCACATAAGACTAGTTTAAAAAGAAAAAGAAAACCTGTAGAGCTAGCTGAACTACATTTTGAGCAGTTGTTTCTTTGTAAATAGTGAGATATTTGAAAGATTGATCCGCTCGGTACACTTTCAAAACATGTTCCGGACACGGACTAGTAGGTTGATAATATTGTGCAATATTCATTGTTGAGATTCGTGATGCGCCTACAGAATGACCAGCAATGTCAGGATTTGAACGACTTGCACGAAGAGAATTCGATCGTGTCGGATTTAGCTGAAAATATTTCAAAAATGAATTTTTATCAAAGCGTAACTGAATAGCCTATATAAGGTAGTGACCAGCAGTATCAAAAAAGTGCATGCCTTATGAGACTAAAATACAATCAAATCCATTGCTGTGTCGATTCGAATCACTCAAAGTTTAATCCGAAAGTGCATTAAAAGAGATGAACAGGTGTTTTCTTTCTAAGGAAGGTTATATCAAAGTTTCTAATGTGCAAACAGACCACCACCGCTAATAACATATTATATCCAATGATGTTGGTGGAACCGGAACAAAAATGTGCTGATAAAAAACGTAATTTAACATCTATATTTGGTTTCATTCAAATATGACTGAAATGATGTGTCATTAAAATATTTTTTTAAAATGTACTGTTTTTGATTCTGCAATAGGCCCATCTGGCAAGGTACCCGGCAAGCCTTTTAACATTGCCAGCAGTTTATCCATCATCGAAGTTTTGTTTCCAATACTACTTGTCATACCACTCGGCGGCAAGTATGAAAAACTGGAAGCACCCGTTCGGGGATTCATTCCTACCATACATGACATAGATCCTCTCGGTACATTTTCACTTTGCTGCAAAAATTGCTAATTGTGAATCTATACTTCACTAAAAAACAAGCATTCACGCTTGCTTCTCTAAACATTTCCTTTAAAAGGATCATCCCAAGTTACCTCTGCACAAAACCATAAAAGACGAAATGCAAAACATTTGTTGGTAGATTTTATCAACTGCTATCAATTTATGCTATCATAGAACCTTTAATAAACAACCTTCGAAGCTGCTCTGTGTTTTGTGTAACGAATTTCCGGTCCTTTACGATACGCATTACACTGATCTTCAACATCAACTGCACGTTCTGACCGAGCAATCATTTCTTTGAAGCCCAAAAGATTTGATTTGACTGTTATAGACAAGTGAGTGTTGCTACGCAAAACTTCTAAAGCTCGGATCAGACTAATTTTCTTGAAGCTTTGAC